CCCTGATACCCCTTCTCTGGAAGAGCATCTGCTCCCTTTCGGTGAGGCCTCTTTCGATGATGCTGACATGGTGAACCCAGCCTCCATGCTGCGATTTCATGTAGAGCGCGGTGATTTTCCCATTCATACATTCATTATCGTACTCACTCGAGCCCTCCAGCAAACTGGTCCCTCTGGATTGATCACATTATTGCAGACGACGACTTCGAGCAGTATTTGAGGGATGTTCATCTCTTCAACGCCATTTTGAGCTCGAGGGAGTTGTTTGTGTGCAAGGCACAGACTAATACTGATATGATTATTTCCCGCTAGAGCCGCGACACTCACACCTTCGTGTTGGCTAGGGCGGAGATAGCCCCAACCCTTGAAGACGTCGCTGTTCTCCTTTGGTTGAGCACCCGTGGGGACTCCCCTTTTAGTCCCGTGTCCTTGACTACTGCAGAATAGACTGTTGTCACTGTTCTTCAAGATGCCTTTCGAGAGGCACAAAAGCATGTCTCTTGGCATGATCTGAGGACTAGGGAATTGCTTCAAGAGAGGCCCAAGAGGGACAAGACCACCTACCTCTCTTTGTTGAAGCATTTTTTCAAGGACATGCAACCTGTTGTGGTCGACATTGCCGAAGATAGATGCGAGTCAATAGTTGGGTCAGGCCGAAGATAGACGCAGAAACTTGTACTTGGCCGCTTTTATTAGTTATTTTATCTCCTTTTTTGTCCACCCCAAACAACCCTACTGGGAGCATCAATCCTCTGGTGTTCCCCTTGCTATCAAACTTTACAGCAACAGTCAGATCTCCTTGGCTTCTCTCTTCTTGGGGAATTTATATTTTCGTCTAAACCTCATTCTTTCAGACATGGAGAGATCCATGGGCCACTATGATGTATGGAGCTTCGTTCATACTCAATTCTTGACCTCCTTTTTTTACGAGTTGTTCCTTGTTGTGGGCCCAATCCCAAAAGAGCATGAGCCTCTTTTTACCGACGAAGTCCTTGATGCAGAGGGTCGTCCTGTTATTGATATAGAGGGATGGCCCATCATGAGACAAGTGCGCCTCCCTCCCTCACATCTATGAGTGGTTTGGTGTTGGCACCAACAGACCCTTTGTGGACTACATTGACTACATGAAGAAATGCATGCTCCGCCTCTTTACCTAGCTTCTTCCAATCATTTCTGTTGTTCCATTTTATTTCTCTGAGGCCCGTCTTGTTGATTTCTCTCTCGACAGTGTCCAGGCCAACTCTTTCCTTATTGCTGCTATGATACGTCCCGAATTTCTACCCATATAGAACGAGGAGGGCATGTCCAGCGTCGTCTATCGGCCAGGCAGGGTCCTTAGGCAATTTGGCATGGATAAGGGTATCCCACATGCTCCTCTGCCTCAGGTAGATTTCCATCAGAGCTTCCAGCGGTTTGCTCGTGATTATACCACTTTACTTGTGGAGGATTTAGGCCTCATGGAGCTGCCCTCGGTCGGAAGAGAAGGCGCCTTTACTCCTAGTAACAGATTATTCTGGCATCACAACCTCAACTCCTTCTTTAATTTTTGCAACAGTGATCTAGTTGTTCCTGCAATAGAACCCATTTCGCAACCTGATCTATCCCTTCGTCTCTCCTCTGGGCAGGGGAAGCAGACCAGTGTATTTTGTCGTTTCAAGCTTTTTTCCTCGCCTGTCGTAAAGGAGCCTCATTCATCTGAGGCAATGTCCGTCTAGCCTTTGCTAGTTGCTCCTCCCCAAATCGGTACATCAGTGCGCATGTCCCGCTCCCGCTTGAGGGCAGTCCAGGAGCCAGCGACATCAGACGCTGAGGCCCGTGCCTCATCAAGTAGGAAGAGACTTCGAAAGGTATTTATACTTAGAAAATATTTTGTATTTTTTCATACTTCTATGGGCTTTTTATCTATACTTTAGTAATCACTTGATCTTTTTCCTTTTCAGGGCCCATCAGCCATGCCACCTTCGGGCCCCGGAGGTTCTTCTACTGCCATTGGAATTTCCTCAAATTCAACTGACGTCGACGATCTTCCCATTGTTTCAAGGGTCATAAGATTTAGAACTCGCAGAATGGTACTTCCAGATACTGAAGAAGAACCAAGTGATGAGGCCAAACCAACTACTGAGGCCATGCCAGTTGTTGAGGCTGAGTCAGATACTAAGGTTGCAAACACGGAAAGAGGTCGTGATACCCCCTTTCTTGAAAATGAGCAAGTCCCCCTACTATGGAAGCTGTAGCGGTGATATAGTTGCTGAGGGTGCAGAACCTCCAAACCCTATTCATTCTGACCGTTCCTTTGTTAGTGGAGATGATTTTATTCCTGAGAATCCGAGAAAGGATTATGGTGAAAGAGAGCCACTAGAAGTTGCACCACCCCCCTTGGGAGCTGTATCTGGGGGTTCTTCCTCGTCCATTGAGTCTCCACTGGTTCCACAGACCCCACTTCCCAATGTTCAAGTTATTGAGGGAGGTGCAAATGCAATGGCTGTTCCTGTTGTGGGCCTCAAAAACTTGGCCCAATGTGGAGAGGCAGCTACTAACCTGGCCACTCATGGTACTACTGCTGCTGCTGATTCTTCTGACCCAGTTGCCTCAGCAACTTCTAAGCAGCATGCTGACTTGTACCCCACTCACTTTCCCGAGGTACCAGCTAATCTTAGGAGATCACGAGACTTTTATGTGGGCATGGACACCATTGTTGTGCAAGATCTGAACGTTGTGGACAACCCCATGGACGACCTCTTTTCGAAGTGACATCATGGTGCAGCTAGCTTTGGACTCTCTCGCGAGGTTAGCTTTCCCGGTTGCCACCCAACATCTACCCATTCCAATGCCGCTAGGCCATCATCTTCAAGGGAAGTGCATCGCGCCCAGGCCTATGGTCGATCCACCAATCTCCCTCCAGTAATTGAAGCTAGCGATGGTGTGAGAGGGTCCCCTTAGTCCTCAAGGAAAGTTTCTTTCCTAAGTTATTGGGTCTCCTCCGAAGTTGCTCCTACTCTTGCCCGCATCGAGGCGCTGCACCCTGGCACCTTCACTACTTTCAACATTTCGAGCTCAACGGTGCAGAGAGCACTATTAAAGTCACTTGCCAGCTTCATCCACGACCTTGCTACAAAGAATATTTTTACGACTGCCAACAAATTTGTCGAGAGTGCTTAGGCTAATTTGAGCGGCTTTGAGAGGAATGGTCTGGACCTATTGTGGATGAGGGCTAGGATGCCGGCGGTCGATGACTTCCTTGAACATGTAGATAATGTCACGATGCATGCATCTTTGGAGGAGACAATCAAGGAGTGTGAGGGTGCAATCGAGCAACATTGGCAGAACATGGCTCGGTTCAAAGAGAAAGACTCTGCGTTGGCTGCTCAACTACTTAGGGATGTGACCCTGATGGACTCCCTCATGAAGGGTTTGATTTGATTTATTGTGACTCTATTATGGCTCCTTTTCTTTGTACTTTTGATGTCTTTTTTCCTTCTTTATTTTCCTTGAAACATTGTAATCATGCTATGGAAAACTTTGATGTTTATGAGGAACAAAGATACTGAGTAGTCGAACTTTACTTCATTGTCTTCTTTTCATTGTCTTTACATAGCTTCTAAGGATGGGCAATACTCTTGCTATGAATAGAATTTCACCGTGACTAAGTTTTTACATGGCTAAAATTTCACTAAGTATGGAAAACTTTCCTCGCACTAAGTGTTTACAAGAGTAACAGGTTTACTAAGAAACTTACAACTCTTTTTTTGAACAAAAGAAATTAGGGAAAATACTCCTTTACGTACTTAGCATTGATAGGGCCAGTTCTGAACCCATCACCTACTCTTGTCAACTTGTAATACCCGCTGTTGCATGCCTCAACAACTTTGTAAGGGCCTTCCATCTGGGGGAGAACTTGGGGATTGGTTGCCCCCGCATGATTGTGTCCACTGTCTTCCATACCAAGTCCCCCTCCATGAACTCACTCTGCTGAACAGACTGATTCTAGTCGTGAGCTATAGATTGATGATACTTTTCCATTGCCCGCAAGGCCTGATCCCTTCTTTCTTCGGCTGCTTATATATCATTCTTTCAGCTGTCTGGAACTAAGTGTGCTGACCTAACCATTCTTACTGGGTGTGCTGCCAACTCAACTAGTAACACAGCTTCGCACCCATATACTAGGGAAAATGGGGTTGCCTGTGTTGGCTTCCTTTTTGACGTTCTATAAGCCAAGAGTGCTATGGGGTGTTGTTCAAACCCTAAGCATCCTCTGCTTCATCCATCATTTTACTCAGTATTCGGATGAGGGTTTTGTTGGTTACCTCAGCTTCATCCATCATTTTACTCAGTATTCTGAGAAGTGTCCAACAATCTTCTCACATGGCAATTCACAAAGGGAGTTCCATTGTCAAACAAAATTACTTTGGGCATGCCAAACCTACAGATTATGTTTTCCTTGATAAAGTTGGCCACTCTTGCCCCATCTGCTTTTCTTGTTGGTATAACCTCTACCCACTTGGTGTTAACTTCTGTCGTTGTAAGTATCGATCTGTGGCCTTTGGATTGCTACGCTATAGGACCTACCAAGTCAAATGCCCAAGTATGAAACGGACAAGGAGTCTTGATGTTGTGCAGCCCAACCGCTGGTACATGTATCAAGTTCCCAAACTTCTGGCAGGATAAACATCTTCTTACGAAGGTTTTCGTATCTTCTTCCCTTTGTATCCGTCGGTATAGACTGATATCCCCATCTCCGCAGGACTTGGCATGGATCTACTTGAGTCTGTAAGTTGCTTTTTATCTACCGACGCACCTTGGTAGCAGGTTGTTAGGACAACGAAAATATAACTCTCCTTTAAGGAGCAGAATGATGCACGTTCTGCTGGTCTGATTGTTCTTTTCTTGATGATGATGGCTATACTATCATCTAGTATATCTACATTTGCCCCTAGTGTAGCCAAGGCATCGAGAAAACGGTTGTGTGTTCGAGGGGTGTGCTAAATCTTGACATCATCAAGCTAGGTGAGCAACTTCTGGATGATGGTGTGGTATGGGGCCAACAGTGGCTTCTTTAAGGCGAAATCGCCCATTGTTTGCTTGACAACTACCTTGGAGTCGCCCCAAATTTTCAAATTGCGAAGGCCTTTCTTTTGGACAACAATTAGACCCAGTATCAACGCCTCATATTTGGCCTTGTTGTTTGAACATTCGAAGTCAAGCTTATATGATAGATGAAACTTCTCTTCTTTGTAACTAGTTAGTGTTATGCCAGTTCCACCTTTCTCGGCTCCGGAAGCTCCATCAAATTTTAAGTCCCAAAAAGTCTCAACTGCAGCTGTAGAGACATGGACCTCACCTGGTAGATGTACCTCTGTAGGTTCATGTTCACCAGATGGGAATTGAGCCAGTAAGTCTACAAGTGCTTGGCTCTTAATAGCATTGGGAGTAACACAAGTGATGTCATATTCTGCTACAGCCAAAATCCATCTTGCCATTCTTCCAGTCAGAGCGGCCTTGCTCAGCAAGTATCGAACTCGATCACTCTGGGTCATAACCTGGATCGAGTGTGCCAAAAAATAGTGGCGCAACTTCTACGCTATGAAGATTAAGGCTAAGCAATGCCTCTCAATTGGGGTATACCCTGATTCAGCGCCATTGACTTTGCGATTGATGTGATAGGCTGGTTTCTAAACACCATCTATGTCCTGGACAAGTAGAGCTCCAATAGACCGGGGTGAAGAGGTCCGGTATAGCGCAAGCGAAGGTGTAGACATAGGGAAATCATTGTAAGTGGAGAGGTAAGTGCTTTCTTCACCATATCAAATACATGTTGGTGTTCTTGCAACCATTCAAGCTGATGATTCCCTTTCAGTAGCGTCCCAAAGGAAAATGTTATCTCAATAAGGGCTAGAATGAACTTTCTGAGGTATGACACCTTACTTAGGAATTTTTTCATACCCTTTTGAGAGTGTGATGGTGGCATCTCCATGATTGACTTGATCTTATCCCCATCTGCCTCGATCTCCATGCATCATATCGTAGAACACTGTAGTCATAGCTCGTTGGTAGGTTGCCCCCGCATTTTTCAAACCTGTGGTAAAGTGCTTTGGAAATACTCTTGGATCCAGTTAGACACTCTTGATCCTCTGATTGCTACCTGAAAAAGGGATGAACACTCCGATCGGGGGTGCCGGAATTAGCATTCTAACGAACAATTCAGTATCCTCTCAAATTTACTTCTATCTCAAGTTATCTTGTAAATTCTCACATACCTCCTTTGGCTGACATTTCTTCCTTTTTATATTACCTTTAGGCCTAAGGGTCGGGCACACTCTTGATCTCTCACGTAGTTACTTAGTCAGCCATCCAATTGAGTGTCAGCTCCTATTCAGCTCCTTATATGGCCAATTCGTTTATTCAGCTTCATGAGCCTTTGGTCTGGGCCGAATTGCCTTTGGCCTGATGTTAATCAAATTCCTTGCCCTTCTCTTAATTGATTTTATTCGGCTTCCACAATTCTCCCCCGAACATCAGACTAATACCAATTAGCTGGCATGTTTGGTTTTACGTATGGAAAGTCAATAATACGGCGCTCACACTTCTTCCAATACTGAAGCGTCAGAATGAACATGGTTTTAGAAATCATTATAACTTCCCGCCCCTTCGTACACATTGCACATTTAATGCAATACAAAAACGCTTGATTCCATGAACTTATCGTTTCATTTGTGCAACTAACAATCTGAAGAAAGCACTGACTTCGGCCGATGACACTGTACTTGAGCAAGTCAAAACCGCTCTCAAATTCTTTGGTCGTCCAAACCTTCACAAGCAAGGTCATCCAACGTATTCGACTTTTTTAGCTGCAGATCATATCCCAATTCCAAGGGGTGAGCAGCATCTTACGACACTTATCTTCCTAAACTTCAAGAGCCTTTTGGGACATAGGCCTTGAAGGTTCAAATTCAGACCCTGGCAGTGAAGTCGGCGATCAGGTCGCTAAGCAGCCGAGCTAGTCCAACTTGGACGGGTCTGAGGGTCGTTTGGGAGAGGTAGTTGACGCGGCTCTTAATTTGGATTTTGAAGAAGTCGGCTTCAACCTCACATCCACCTCAGGCCAAATTGACACACCTTTAGAAGAAGCTATTTTCACCGATCTAGGAGACCTACCCGGCATTGATCTTGAAAACATGGTTGGGGAATCGCTCGCACAGATGGCAAGAAGGAAAAATATTGAAAAGATGGCAGCCCAAAGGAGGGGCCGAAACCGCCAGGTCTCAACCCGCACCACCTGCTCCTATTGAGGAAATGGAGCAAACTGTTGTAGCCGAAATGGTCATTGAACAATTGGGTGACTTAGTTGCTGAACAAAGGGGGGAGAAATGCCCACCAAGATTGAGGCCGACTCTTCTAAAGACACAACCGATAAATGGCCTCGCATAGAAGAGTACCAAGACATGGCGACGCCATTTGTTATTCAACCCAAAATAAAGAACGTGCCGGTTTTTGATGATGCGTCAACTCTGAAGTACCGCGTCATGGCCCTAAGGGTGGCCTTGTCGATTTCTTTGCCGATGGACAAGGCTGCGTTCCGTACAGAACTAGACGTGGTTTCGAAAGCACTAGTTGCTCAGTCGGCGATATTGATATGTAATTGGCAAACTTAACACTTCGTTCCTTTTGTATGCCGAGTAACTTGCCCATGTTTTGTTTCAGACGACGGGAAAAATTGCAAAAATTGACCACCGTCACTATGACGCCTTCGAGCAAATCGACTTACTTAAAGCCGAGATTGAAACCAAAAAGGGGAAAGCTAAAATGGCGTTGGCTGAATTGGTGGTTGCGTCTCTTAAAGCTGAGTCTGACATGAGAAAAACCAAAAAAGCGCAAGCGAAGGTGTAGACACCCTATTATTTACCATCCTTAAGACTTGGGCATCATCGTTTGAACACTCGATGATCATCCATGCTCGTGTTCGTTTTGAGTTCCCGAAGGTCTCGGTTGTGCGCCTTGCCTGAGGATCTCTCAACTTGTCTATTTTGTGCTTGGTTGTGGACCAAGGACTTGTGGTTTTGCTTCTGAGGGAAGAGGGTGGCTTGTTGGCCATCCCTGCAACCTATCGGCTAAGGCTTTGTGCCATTGGCCATGTTTCCCTACCATCAGCCATAAGTGTTGGCCGATCAGCACCCTTTTTGTTCAATCGGCACTCTTTTGGTCGATCGACTATATTTTTGAGCCGAGACCTTTCCATCTGCTTTTTGCAGATATTTTGTGCCAGCTGTGACAGTTGGTGGCCACAAATCTCACCCTCCATACGTGTATGGAGCGATTGAATTCAAGACTCAAGCTTGTTGAACATGCTTGAGAATTGAAATTCTATAAGAAGGAAGGACCTCCTCCCTTTCCAGAGGTTCTGAAATCTTGAGATACAAGTTCTATATCTCTCTCTATATATATTTTACCTCTCTCTTGTTTAGCCTTTGTTTGTGCCCAAAAGTTTAATATCTGCACACTATTGCACACAAACACCTACTAGAACACCATCCTTTGGTTGTTGAGGTCCCTAGGAGTTGGTTTTAGTGTTCTTGGGCTGGTTTTGGTCAGAGAAAGTTGCTGGAGTTATGTTCTTGAAGGTGTTTTTCAAGGGTGAGTAAACTACCTTTTAATCCCCCATTTTGGCTTAAGCTTTTAGACCTATTTGCATATTGTTTAAGCTTAACTCTAAACTGTAAAAATTTCTAATTTTTCATGCTTGTGATGTTTGTTTAAGATCACTTTTGAGTTAGGGGTAGTTTACCCCCTCTTAGGCCTTGTTTGGCCTTGTTTTGTGCGTTCCCTTTTGAGCTTTGGAACCATCTTGTTTTGACCTTCTCACCACTGAAATCCAGAGGATTTTCAGTGGTGGAGAGGTGGTTTGGAGTCTTGAATAGGAGAGGGACACCCCCCTCTCCTTATGTCTCATTTGCTAGTATAAATGGCTCATATTGGTAGCATGTTTGCTTAGCATGTTTTGGCTTCATTTCAACAAGTATTTGGTGTTATTTTGCCATGTTATACCTCTATTTCAAGTTGGTTTGATAGCCTCTTACATGCATCATGCACTTGTAGTGTAATCCTCTCTATTGCCTTAACATGCACCTAGCATTTGGACCATCATTCTTGCATGTTTTGGCTCAACTCAAAGAAGCTTTTAGTCATGTTTTACCATGCTCTAGCTCTGATTGGCATTGTCTTGGTCATGTATGCATTGTTTTGTATAGCCTTGGTTCAATCTAACTTGTTAGGTTTGAGTGTCCAAGTCATTAGCATGCATTGCTTAGACCATTTTCATGATTTGGCATCATTTCATATGTGATTTCAGTCCATGTAGTGTAGCCCTACATATGAATTTGTCACCTTTTTGATGCTTTGGAGGTTTAGTGTTTTGTGCTTCAAGAATGGATCATTGTGCATGCCTTTATACTTACGTCTTTGGGATGCCATCTAAGTGGGTTTTTGGGCTTATTTCGACATACCATAACTCTGATTTTCATTGGTTAGGTCATGCCATGTTTGGTTGTAATAGGTGTAGTGTAACACCCCTTGTTAGCCTTGCATGCCTCATGCCTTTTGGACTTTTGTTCTAGCTTGTGTTGGCTATGTTCAAGCATGCTTTTGGTCTTGTATTGACCTACTTTGGGACTATTTTGGGTGCCCTTGGCCCTTTGGGGCTTGCTTTCCATGGCCATGGTTTAAGTCCCTTTGTTAGTTTCAAGCGTTGAGCTTTCTCGGATGCCATACTTGCATTGTTTGGTTGATTTGGCATCATTCTTAACATGATTTCAGAGCTTATGGTGCTATCACATATCCATGCTCGTCACTCTTTAAGTGTGCTTAAGAGTTGCATCTTTATGCTTTAGTCCTTGAGCCAATTGGCATGCATGCTTGTCTTGCGTTTTCATGCTTTTCATGCCATCATTTCATCATTTTGGCCACTGATTTGGGCATGGCTGAGGTCTGCCCATTTTGGTTTAAGTTCATCTTTACATGTTGTTGCATGCTTGACATGTTACATGTTGTTGCATGCTTGCTAGTTTTCATATTGTTGCATGCTTGTCCATCTTTGCATGCAATGCATGTTTGTATGTTTAGGTTGCATTTTGCATGCTTGCTAGTTTGCATTTTGTAACTTGCATGTTTAGGTTGCATTGCATTTGGCATGCTTGTTACCTTAGCCTTGCATGCATGCTTGAGTCATATTGCATTTGGCATGCTTATGTTGCATTGCATAACATCTCCATGTTGCATGCATTGCATTGTGATTGGTTTGGGGTGTCAAACCAAACACGAGGACCGAGGGACGTTTCGTACTTGAAGTGACTAAACGTGCCTCAATCCTCAGTCGCCAACACTCTTGATCCAACATGATAGAGTGTGTGGTATTCATGTGTTTTGTGCATTCATTCCATATTGATTTGTGCAATTTGACCTCTTTGGCCATCATGCATCGAAATGCGTGATTGATGGCTCAAGAGTCGAACACTACACTCCTTTGAGTTCCAAATATGATAAG